TGTAAGAACATTCAGGATTTCATGCGTTACACGGCCTTGTTTTCAAATATATGTACGTATGTTGTATGTGTGTATATATATATATACATCATACATATACACATATGTACATACATACAATAGTTAAGTACCCACTTAATATTTATATTAATATATATATATATTATTTATTTGTTTATTTATATTTATATGTGTATAATAAGTATGCGAATATGTATATACAATTACATGTATATATATAAATATATGTATGTGGAAGTCAAAAATTAATAAAGTTAAAAAAATATAATCTTCAAAATAGAAACTATAACCGTCTTTCTCTTCTCAGCTACAGCACTATTGTGTCACTTATGAGTTCTTTATTCTCATTTTTTTTTTTTTCTTTGTTCCTTATTTCTTTGAAAACGCTTGAAATATTTCTCTTTCTCTCTCTCTCTCTCGCTCTCTCTCTCGCTCTCTCTTTCGCTCCCTCTTTTTCTCTCTCTTTCTCTCTATTTTCTTGTTTTCTTTGTACGGAATTGCATGTGTACTTAGTATCTGCGTATTCATTGGCTCGAGAACGAAGGAACGTTCATGAAAAAAGAAAAGTTCATCCCCTTCCGGTTACGTTTTCCACAACTATCGTTAATCGATCCATCGTGGATGAGCATTCGAATTTGCTTTTTCACGAAACGTTTAATAAATCAGTTGGTTACGTTCGAAAAGATAATAAAAAAGCGACGCAGAGAAAATGGTGAACGTTCGCTGTTCATATTTATGTCCTATCGGTGAGAGTTTACAAAATTGATTTCTAATATGAGAAAATGATGTTTCTTTTGTACAATCGTGTAAAATATTTTAAATAATTAATCGTTATATTTAATTACACGTAATAACACATTTATATAACGCATAACACACTGTTTCTATACATTTATTGACAAACAGAATGTGTCCCTCGTTAATTACTGTTACTGTATTTTTCTGCAGTTTTCAAAGATAGCTGTACAGATTCTCTTTGAAAATCTTAATGTTCCTCGTGATAAAATAATGGTACTTGAGCAACAGGTTCTATAGATTGCTATGAAATTTAATAACCGCTTCACTGATTTCAAAAACTTTATTTGTTCATTGGCAACAGTTGTAAACTTCTTTCAGATGAATTTTTGACGAGGAAAATGATTCAACAATATACATTATTTACAAACACTCGAAAATAAATTAGGAAACTCAATGGTAGATGCGTAATAAAAATGTAACGATTCTGTAAGTCTAACAATTGATAAGACGTTTAAAGAGAAAATATATATAAAAAATATATATGTTAAATAAAATTTCAACGCAATAACTAAGCGCTTAGAGCATGTAGCTATTTGAGCTCGTTTGTTGATATCACTCTTGTTTAATCGAGATATGTTTATCGAATACTGAACAATGTCGTTTGTAAAAATTGCACAAAAATCGAGATGGAAAACATTACATTCGATTGTCTCCTAAATTTTGTTAAAGATGTCGCTTCGCGGCAATCATTATGGAACCCTTAGTAAAAATGTATTTATAATGCTTAAAACGCAGTTTTTCCATTAATGTTAATATATAACATGATTTGTGACACAATTCAAATAATCGTTAATCATCTACGATGACAAAGAGTAATTAGTAGTAATTAGCAGCTTGAAATATTAATATATTCATTAAAATACGAATATAAATATTTGGGAAGTACGTGCATGAAACTACGTACAGTCTTCTTACGCAATTTTTACACATGTGATACATACTTTTTTCAGTTTTTTTCCTTTCATTTTAAATAAATATAATACATTTATTCATTACAAAGTTCTCCTTCGAAACTCTAAATTCATATCGATTTTAAATACAAAATAAACAAAATAAAAATACAAATGTTAAAACAATTTTGCTGTTACAATATGTAGATGAAGAGAAATCTTTAGCCAATCACAGTCTGTCTTTAACAGAATTTATATTACTGGAAAAGTAAATCGAATTTTACAACTGCCCTTCTGATAATTAAGTAATGAAATAAAATAGCGAATGCAGAAGAAATATAATTTTCGAAACTTCCGAGAAAATAACTTCTCTAATTTAACTTCTAAGAAAAGAATTGTTGTTTGTTACGATACTTTCGAAGTTTCGTTCAAATATAAACTACAATATGTCAATATCGAAGTAATGTCAATAATGAACAATAACGTAAATTAATTTGACAAACTGATCACGAGTTTTTCGTGATAGTAAGTTTATAACAGTAGCAGTTTATAATGGTAATAATAAATTTGATTGGTGCTAGGAAATTTCAGGGTGCGATTCCTAATGATTTTCCAAGGAAATCAGCCAGAGATTCATAACACTTTACGACCATTAATTACATGAGCATACGATATGCACACACTCTATACACAATGTAGAAATTTTAGTAAATAGAGTGACCAAATTAAGGAGACGACTCTCTTTAACGTTTGACATTCCTTTTGACGTGTCTGTCAAATATTGATTGCCTTATAAACTGTATATCGAAAATATCAACTGAAACCTCATGTGCATATTTCAGTTGTAATTTCTGATAATTTCAAGACTTCACAAATGTTTGCTATTGTTCTATTAAATTTTCTAATTCACTTTTATGAAATACTTAAATTCGCAAACTAAACGGCTTCTCCTTTATGTGAAATGACCCAATATTTATCCTCAACTTAATACATCCAAGCATTTATAAGAGGCTGTATCTTTCTCGTCGTTAAATTTGGAAAAAAAGTATTACAATAAAAAGACGAATGGTTCTCAGTGGACTACTATTTACGGTTATATGGTTATGTCTTTTTCGCAAGTACAATAATACAATTGCACTATTTTGCATTGCGTTATTTTTTGAAATGATAATCTTTCCTTTTTCTTTTATATACATCAAATTCTCTCATCATTGTACGTAAAAAAGATATTAAAACCTTTATTAATTAAAATTTTAAACGATTAAATTTATTAATTAAAAGGCAAAAGTATGAAAACCAATGGATTTAAAAACAAAATGAAAGACAAGGAGAATAAACTCGAAAGTAATATATTTCATATTTCCTTGTTTCACAAAATAATTGAGCCTTGCAGAATTAAAATTGAAATATCTTTTAAACCAGTTATTTTTCCATCACATTTCTTTACATAGAATGACAAAAGGATTCAATATATATATATACAAAAAAGAAAATTCATTTTCATTTAAAAAAATTAAGCAGTTGCAGAATGCACATGCATTTGCAAAAAAAATATTCATCAATATGTAGTTTATTTTGAATCTTGCATTTGTTTCCTCTAACATTTTTTTCTTTTTAACTTCAGCCAAAAAAAAGATATACATTGTTATAGTTGCATGAATCACGTACTTATAACCACCATTGATAATAAAAGAAACTAATTTTATTTTCTGTAATGAAGTATGCTCGATTGATAGCAATCGATAAATTAAACAAATGAAAATAAAAACACTGCCTGTTTCTTTAACAATTCTCCTTGTCCTTCTTAATAAAAGTATCTCCTTAATAAGTCACTGAGGTACATAATTTTGTTTCTCACTTACATATATGTATAGATTTGTTTTTTCACACATACGTTTGTAGCAAAGAGCTTGGAAATTCTCTGATAAATTTACGATTCTCAGCACATACAAAGGATATGCAGGATACTTTATAAAAAATTATTACAACTTCCTGATATTGGGAGATCGATATTTCGTGCAATCCACTACTAGAACAGCCAGTGAATATCTACACACTGATAAATCGAAAGGAACCTTTTGTCGTCGGAAAGAAATTTTTACTCAAACGACGTTTCTCAGTCGTTCTTATCGTTTTCTTTCTTTTTTAATTCTGTGAATAGGAATTTGATCATATTCCAGAAGAAACTGCATCTAACGCGTCGTGATCCGATCGAGTATTAACTATACGTCTATCATTTTAAAACTATAATCATAAAGTTGTTATATAAAACATTTGCTTTCAAATAACTATTTAATGAAAAATAACATTTCAATTTAAAAAGGAAGAAAAGTAATTTGAACTTCGTTCTCTACATTTGCAATGAAAGAAAGCTTTTATTCTTTTGTTAGATCTCGTTATCATCTTTATTTATTGTTTCTTTCGCAATGTCGTTTTATTTTGTTTTTCTCTTCCTATATCACTTTGTTTTTCATTTTTCTTTTTACCTTTTATACATTAACTGAATCCATATTCATAAATGAATTCATCGATATTGAATTTATATTCGTTCTTTTCATTTACAGTTTTCATGAAGCATGCGGTCATCGTTGGAAAATAATTTCGTCTTCAAATTCTTTTTGGTGAAACTGTTTTACATCCGCCAAAATGTCACGACATGAGTATGCTATATTATAGAATGTATATTAATACATAACAATTATTATAATAAAATTAATATTGTTTTATATATATATATATTTTTTTTTTTTCTGCAAAAAAAAGTTTTGATAGAAACATTTCAAAGATCATGATTCTAAGAAGATAGATTTTTAAATAGTGTTTGCAACTTTCAACGGAAATTAATCGGATCACAACACATCAGCACACTTCGGCAATAAGTTAGAAATGTAAACACGCGAAAACTACGTTATTTCTTTCATTTGTTTTCACATGTTACAATCGCATTTGCGCAAAGAAGAACGTCTACCATTGAAGAATTTCCATTTAGCCAGTCTTCAAAGGCTACGTATTTTTTGAAGAATCTTCACGTAGAATGTAGCGATTTTCAAAAGATCAGAGTCAATCATTTTTTTCGATCAACAAATTATAAGATGAAAAGGTCTTCCAGAAAATTTTGCAAATTTGAAAAAACTAAACGACGCTAACGATATTTAACTGGAATTGTTTCAAATAAATTATATAATGAATTATATAATTATAATATATATGTATTATATGATTTATTATATAATTTCTTATTTTATTAATTATATAGTTATATAATTGTTTAAAAATAAAATTCTTGTAAGAATTATGCATTGAGAAAATTTCACGTCATATCAAGCTATTGTCAGAGTTGATTCTCCTCTGATGAATTAAGCACGCAAAGTAAACAAAATTCAAACGAAGGGAACAAGACAAGAGAACGATAATTATTCAATCGGTCAATTCCTTAAAACGCAGTAGTCAGCGTTTGATTAAACGAATTGAGAAAATATTGCCAATATCTTAACGATGATTTGTTCAGTGTTTCACGCGAGTTACCTAAATTTAAACTGATATAAGTACGTGTTGTAAAAATATGCGGGTCTTACGAGCTACGTAGCTCTCCAGTGATAGGATTCACAATTACTCTTTTTCCTCAGTTTCCTGGACACCCAGCAAGATTGATTTGTCTTCCTCATGACCCTCCACTCCCGCTTCCTCAATGCACTGACGTTGGCGTCTTATGGCCTTTCGCTGCACGTACAGTAGCAAAGAAATACTGATGCTTGCCAAAGCTGCGAATACTGCTAGAACTATGTAAATTCTTATTGGCATCTGGTTTAACCCCTGTGGAATAACGGAATGCAATTTTTCCTTTAGTCCGCGTGATTTTAATATCGATTTAAAAAATGTGATTGGTTCGTAAGAATCGCACATTGCGTAATAACATTAAGTCGGTCAAGCGTATACAACAAAGAAACATTAAAATAACTAAAAGCAATTAATAGACTTGTTTCTCTGTATTGAAAAGATAAACTTTTTTCTGTAATCCAAAAATTTGATCCCTCGATCTTGAAACTAATTTTGCTATCAAATGATAGCTTACAATAAAGCATTAGTTGCTGCAAATTAAATTTTTAAATTAAATCTATAGTTAGTTTCCAAAACGTAAAATTATAAAAGTGTCCATATACATTTTGATGTCTGAATTTTTATATCGTTCAGATAATTTAAAAAATTATTTCCGGGAGTTTTTGTTGGCTGCTAACAACGAATTTAAAATTAAAAATGTTAAAATTGTCCCAATTATTCTTCAAAAATACTTTATTTTTTCCATTTTAATACCAAGTATAAAAGAAATAAAATTCAAACAATAATTCCACAATTGTGCGCATAAAAATGGTATAGTATATAATTAAAAAAATTTATAAATCTTAATTTAGATTGCCACTGTGAATTTTGAAAATCTAAATTTAAATTCGTTGTTAGCAGACAACAAAACAACTCGGAACACAATAATTTTTTAAATTATTTGACTAACGTAAACGTCATCGAAGCGTATGAATTGGCGTATAGATTTTTTAATACCTATCTCACAAACTAATTCCACGTTCCGATTCAATTTGAAAATTTACTACGAATGATATTATAAATTAACATTTGTTACTAAATTCAGTTCCAAAATCGAAAGACCAAAAAATGCTTCTTTTTTTTTAACTTTTTTATTATTTTCTTCTAGTCAAAAGATTAATGAGAAATTTAATGACATTATTAGTAATTAAAAATGGAATATATAAAACCTGAACTAAATAAGTGAAAATTATTTGATTACTCTTCAATTGCCTTATATCAGATATAAGATTTGTGTAAGATAAGGGGAATTATATTTCGGGAATATGATTGATAATTTGTAGATTAAAATTAGTAGCAATATTACAATTAATTAATCAAGATTACGCTACGTTCTGACACACGTGTTGCGAACGATACTCGTTTAAATACTTTGGTGATTTCACGTAAAGTCACAATGACACAAAACTCAATATTGGAAATTTTGACCTAGTTAACTAACTCCATATGATAATGGTTTTCTGCATTGTGTCTGTTAAATCCACAAATTTCCAATAAACTGTCTATGCCTAACAAGTTGTCGAACAGAAAATTTCGATTAATGAACTCATATGTATTCTCTGACAGATGAAAAAAAAAGATAGTAGCCTTAAAAAAAGATGGTAACCTATTTGTTTAAAATGAAAATCCATAAAAACTTAAATAAACTAACAATAAATCTGTTCGTATCGTCATTAATATTAAGATTTAATGTTTTAATATTGTAAATATTCATTTAATTATCTAACAAAAAGTATTAATTCGTTTTGCATAATGCTTTTTGCAATAAAATTTTTCAACTCTAAATCGCTTAGTAATACTTACTTTATAATCCTTTCATTATACTGCATACTTTATACAAGATTTCAGTGACAACCAGAATATATTTTATATTGTTTTATATTGTTTTACAGTTTCCTTCAATTATTCAAGAGTCGATATCAATAAGCATTTATAAAAGTTCTGTACTTTTTATTTTAAAAGTTTTTAAAAAAAATTTTTTCAAAATTTTCACAAATTCTCAATGAAATTTATATCCGGTATTTATGTGAAATATATCGGTATAATTTTTTATCTTCTATACTATATTTTTTGCTGTAAACTTAGTACCCTGATTTATATTGAAATATTTTGTTTGTATCTAATTAATTGTTTTGTAAAGTTCTCATACATGTACTGATTCAGTATACCACTCATTCGATGCTATATAGACTGAATCTATGATAAATTGACGCTGATTCAATAATCTTACATAGCACATGAAACAAAAATAGATCAATGAATATCTCTTGTTAAAAATAAACAGAAAATGTTCACAATGTTTAAATTAGAGTTCACAACTTTAAAAAATTAGAGTTAATTGCAAAATGTTTCTACAATGTGTACTTCTTTTTTATCTAAATGAAGAATGATTTACGCGAAATATATAGTGATTGGTTCAGTTACGTTTTTCATTGTAAAGCATTGTAAACATTGTTTTTCATTGCTATAGGTCCCAATTTTAACAAAAGACTTCCCTCCTACCAGGGCCATCATTCAAATTAGATTTTCCTCTGATTGTTATTCACCTTAGTATGTGGTATAAGTATTTTTAACACAAATTATCCGTACGAAATGAATATCGAATAGGATTTCTATTGAAATCGAACAATGGTTCCGGCGTGTTTGGACAAAAAGATCTTCATAGCGAGGATAACATGTTTGAAATTTTGATTCTAGAGTCGTCTAACGCTTAACGTGCAGATTAATTTTCTATTCAAATAACGTATACTTCCCCTTTAAGAAGACACATCTTCCATAGAATGTAATTTAATTTAATCTGCGAAATTGAATGCCACCCTCCTTCGAGATTAATTTTTCACAACTTCTTCCACTCGTAAATGTGTAATCACGAAAATCTGTCTCTTGTATCGGAATATTGGAATTTAATATCATTAGCGTATGACTCGATGAAAAAAATGTAAATCGATCGGCCATTTAACTAATATTAAATCCATCACATATGAAAACGAAAAGTATGTAAATAAATATACAATAATATTATTATTAATAAATATAATATAATAATATGGATAATAATAATATATTGTTATATAATAAGTATATAAAAACAAATTATTTATATAAAATATTCTCTATTGTATGTATGAAGAAAAAGAGAAACGATTACGCGTTAAAATCATTTCAGCTGTCTAGATCTTCAACAATTATTGAGAGGAACAAACGTTATATAATTGTCAAGGCTCGTGCAAATTAACTGTTTCATAATGCAAGCAGTTGATTTGCTTCGTTGTCTGTGCTATTTGAACCGGAACAAGCGATAAAGAGGAATACGTTATCACTGCGTGAACCGTTTAGTACAATTTATGAAAATTACATAAGGGGATTTTCTGTTGCATATCGAGTCATGGTAAATCTACTTAAGTATAAAACGATTTGAGAATGCCTGTTGAAGCGATATAATCGAGAATAATATAATTTAAATTCGATTTATGTGGCAATTCTTAATGAAATGCGATAGGAAAACCGCCGTAAACAATTAATTTGTCAAAAATATATTAGTTTCACACATTAAGAACTAAACAAAGAATTAAAGAATATTTATAGCACCAAACATCAAATATTTCAGAAGAAGGAAAATTTATTTATTTAATTTTAAATGACTTATAAAATTTAATTTAGTTTTTAAATGTGATTAAGAATACTAAGGAAATTCTATTTGGAGAAAATCCTGTATCTGTAATCTTGTCGTAAAGAAATCTCAATTTGACCTTCACTTACATTGTAACCATTATAAGTTTTGTCAATGTTTGTTCTTAGATTATTTATATAGCATATGTTTTTATTTTCAAATTGAACATACCAGAGCACCATATTGAACATAATTATATAAATTATATAATAATATAATATAAATACATATTATATAAATTATATAATATATATAAATTTATATATTTAATATATAAATTTAAAATGAAAATTTGATGTCTGGTACTTCCAATACTTTGTAAAAGTATGCCTTTTAGTTGGAAATTACAGTTTTCTCAACAGAAACAACATTAGACTTACCAGTGTCATTTTTTAATGCTATTAGTAATATATCCCTCTTAAAGGGAAATTTTTTTTTAAAAAGAGAAACTCTACATTGTATATTTTAGTATTCCTATTAATACGTAGAACATTTTCTGACAAAAAGATAAATTTTCCAATATTGGATTTTACAGCGTTTCTACAAAGATTTTTTAATTTATCATAGTAATGCAAACATAGTTCAATATTTTTACTTTTAAAATCTAGATGGAAGACACAATGATGAGAAAATATTAAAAGTGAACTTTGAAATATTTTTTCAATATTAAAAAATAGAATTTATACATATAAAATCGTAAATCGTTAAATATCAATCGGTGATTTCAATACTTTATTAATTAACTGATTTCCAGCATCGTTTGCAACGTTTCCGGAAACAATTTATATCGACGGTGCTAATTATTTCTACGTTGCGTCGTTTCATGTTAGATGCGTCGTTTCATGTTAGTACGTTTCGTAGCGCTTCACGTTATTGCAATTTCCAACAACTTTCATATTCGTTATTGTTCTCATTGCCTGTCTTTTTTTTTTTTTTTTTAAAGCCACGAAACAAAGGGTTTGTTGGAATAATCTATAGTACCTTGGCTAGCAGGTTGCTAAAAAATTAGAAGGTAAAATATAACAGCCGCGCTGAGAATGAATGGAAAAATGAGAACGAGGAAAATAATCTGCAAAGGAACGATTACGCGGTCCTTTCTCCATGCTTAGTGGCCAGAAAGAGGAAAGATAATGGCAGTCTAGTTGAGAAAGCGTGGAAGAAACATAAAAGAAACCGGCTGTTTCTCGTCTGCTTTTAGATTCACCAACATGCCTCGACTATCGATCGCTACCGATGCCATTCGGTTTAGATGTCTTTGCTGCAACGCGATCAATATTTATACTGAATGCAAATTAATCTTTACCACCCATAAAAATCCTCCTTAAATTTTCTACTTGTATCAAGACCGTGTCTTGCATCTCCACAAGGCCTTTGTTTCTCCATTCTATTCCATTCCACATTACTTTCATCTGAAATTCTGCTAGAAATTTTCTTCTACTCGACATTGAATTTTTTTTATGAATTTCTTCCTTGTATTCTTACATATCGACAAAAACAAGAATAAAAGTATAATACAGAAAGAATAAATAATTTATAATTTATAATAATAAATTTATAATTTACGCGAAAGAGTTTCAGTTGCAAATAGTTCAACAGAGCATTACATGGAACATTGAAAACGAGAGCTTCAAAAGAAACCAATGTGAAAGGCAGAGTATAAGCTCCGTTTTTTTGACGCAATCATCTACTATTCACCAGACGCTTGTGAATTCCAGAGCAGCGAAACTTTCAACTATTTGCAAATAATACGTCTGTATAAATTCATATCATCGAGCGATATTTTATACGCATATATGCGTACAAAAAGATAAAAGATTAAAATTCTTAAAAATCCATAACAAAATCTCTGTCATTATTGAATCCTACAACTTTTCAAAGCATTGTGTATCTCGGATTCCTTCGTATTAAGTATAAAATAACAAAGACAGATGGGCAAAATTAGTAACGAGTGGATTGAGTTAAACAATTAAAAAATAGAAGGTAATTTAAAAAGATAAAATTAAGCAGTGCTCAATGTGATATTTTGACGTACGTTTGTTCTTACATTACAATGAAAAACATAATTGAACCAATAGCTTTACAATGGACTCCCTCTTTCTATTCAATGCAGCTTTAACTGGCCCTAATCAACCAATATTAGTTATAAAAATAGATTATGATTTTTCTATAGCAATAATGGATAAAGGAAACAGTCGGAAATCGTTGTATATCAAACTTATAGTCAGTTATATCGAGAACTATGCAACGTTCTTATTACCAGAAGTTTTTATTACAAACATTATGTACCAAAACTATTCATTTATAAACACTATCGAATAAATTATTCATTTATCCGGTTAGAGATTAGTTTCATATTGGCCGATTAAAAAAAAAAATTTATCATAGATTTCACGTTAATCATTTCCATTAATATTTAGATATATAAACATACAATTAACTCTAATTTAAAAAATTTATTTAAATTGTTTAAAGTTGCAAATATTTTTCATTCTTCTGTAACAAGAAATATTCGTTGATTCTTTTCTACTCTAAAATGAGTTTTTATATCAGCGTTGGTTTATGAGATTAAATGAGCGATAAAATGAATTACTACATGCATAATTTATAATGCAATTAATTATTTACAGACAAAAATACATCATTGTTTGAAAAAGTACTCTTATATTTCAACATGATTAAGATTTTTATAGAATAGAAAAATTTGTTCTATTAGCCTGGATCCACTAGAAATCTGTAAGGATTCCTTAAAAGTATAACTCTCATAAATGTCCATTAGTATCGACTCTTGAATAATTAAGTAGAACTGAATTAAAATTTATTCTGAATATTGTCGAAATTTTATATAGTATGCAAAGATTCATTAAAAGCATCCTAAAAACTAAAGCGTCATAAAATAATTATTAGTAAGCTATTAAAGATAAAAAATTTGATTGCGGAAAACATTGTGCAAAATTAAGTCAATGGATATCTCTTCTTACAAGCAATTAAAAAGACGATATTGTAAAATTATATTAGAAAATGTTTTTATGTTCATTCTTTATATGCGTGTTAACGTTCAAATATCAATTTAATCATAGTATTCTAGTATGTACAATTATGACGATACTGAGAAGTAAGATCGCTTTGTATCCATTTGTCGATAATTTTATAATGAAATTATGTGCTGTGGAAAACGAGCAATGCTGCGGTCAGGAATTTAGAGCATATTCGATACTTTTATCGTATCGGAGAAATGTACAGAACAGCCGATATTTTTCCACAGACGATTGCTCGTTGACTAACTTACTTGCCGAGACGACTGTACCTTCCATTGGAAATCAGAAGAGGAAGCGTCGGTGAAGAACCACTTCTGCGGCCATGGATTTATCGTTCCTTCTGGCGTCTTGAAGATCAACCCTTCCAAGCTTAGGCCGTGTGCCAGCACGCTCGTAGTGATGTTCCCTTTCTTATACGACGCTATTCCTGCCTTCATGTACATTTGTGGTATCGTTTCGTTCTCTCTAAGTTTCAAGGTCACTCTTGGCATCTTCGTCTTTTTCGTTGGCGTGCTCGACGATGTCTTGATCACATCACTCGGGCTACTGGTCAACATTCTCAAACTCGTTGACCACATTGACGTCGATGCCAATGGAGATGTCGTGGACGTTTGTTTCATTGACGATTCCGTGGACGTTTGTGAACGTTGCGTACTCGTTGTGGCATCTGTGAACAGAAAGCAGAGAAATCTTTCTATTAATCTTTTAATTGTTTTATTTGCCAAATAATTATCTTATTAATCAAATTATTTCAAGAAATTTAAAAGATTTTATATGTGTATTTGTCAAAGTAGAAAATCGATAAAAATATAGCACAAGGAGCAGAGGATAGAAAAACGGAATCATTAAAACGTCATTTTAAGTTTAATATTAAATTAATAAAATTAATGAGATTTTTCCTGCACTTTTTTTCTTATAAAAGAATAAAACTGAAAGATAATTTGTAACAAAGCTTTTGTTATACTAGTATTGAGAAATATTTATCTTTTCTTCGTCGTAAAATGACCGGATTGAAGTCTTTTGCTTAATGCAAACCACTTTCAATGATTTTTCCCGGTTTATGCTAAAAAAAAAAAAAAAAAAAATGAAAAATTCTTAATTTCTAAATAACATTTACTTGTAAAATTTTTGCAAGAGAATTTATTGAAAACTTCTTTTTCTACAGACTCTTTTATAAAGAATTTTTTTCACTTTTATAAGACTTTTTTAACGAGATTTTTTATTTAAAAATGTACAATTGCAACAAAAATCAACGTTTCTTAAAAAATCCTATATATATATATATACTTCTCAAGTAAAATCTATACATGTATATTTCTCGAGTAAATATTATGAAGAAGTTAAAAGTCTTTAATTTTTTCTTTGGCTCAAACTATATGCAGTATAAAGAATACTGAAAATAATGCCGCGTCAAGACAATTACAGTCCAGTTATTTTGTAAAAAAGAAAACAGAAAAGAAAAGAGAAAAATAAATAAATATTCTTCAAGACTTGCGTAATGAAGACTTTATTCTAAATATTATTATTAATGATTTGATATAAAGTCTATCGTCTCTAAAAAGTTCTCTAATTAATTGTGATATTATATTTTCTATTGCATTGTATTGTATTGATCCTTTTTTTCTGAATTTAATGTTTGAACAATTATCCGTAAAATGTCACAACACTCCAAAAAACGGCACCAAAACGAATTCTCAAACTTAAAAGAGATAATAGTAAAACTAGATAATAGAATTTTTTAGTAGAAGATTTTTTATTTAATGAGCTATTATTTTATTAACTGAGTTATTCAGATTATCAAATTTTTGTTTGTCGATTTTTAATATGCAAAATAATTGTCTGAAAAAATGATACATACTATATCGAAGAGAATTTTCAAGATTTTAGGGGAAAAATAGCGATTTCAGAAATTGCGGCTAGAAAATGAAATTTTAAAATATTTGACAGTACTAGATACTAAATTCAATCGATGCTTTACTGAAATGGTTCAAATTATTAATTGAAAAACTTGTTGGAAAGATGATTGTCAAAATGAATTTTTGGAATTAATAAATGAGCCGAAAACAACTGAACAAAAAATATATTCGTTGAGAAATAAGTTACAGAGTTTCTCTAATAGAAACAGCTGTGTATGTATAGTGAGTCTCATTAATATTCGGACACTTAGAAACTATTATAATTTTGTAAAAAGAAATAATACAATAATAAATTTACGCTTATTTCAAAGCTTGAACTTATTTTCAAAATGAATTATTTATTTTGTTCTAAGATATTTTTACATTATGTGTCAGATGGCAAAATGAAGACACTTTTCTTCTCGAAAATGCTATAAATTATTGTAATACGTAAAAACTGAAAAATTGTTTTCATGATTGAGTCTACAATGGATATGAAGATTAAAATCTCTTTTTCGAATCTTCGAAACCTTGCTATATGATCTTTTTTCATCAATTTATTGAAATTGGAATATCAGGCATACACAAACATAACGAAGAAAATTATGATTTCTTGAATTTTTGTTAATTAAGTCTAATATTCTAAGTTCAATGAAATGGTCAAAAAAAATCATACATTTCAACTTTTACATAAAAATCAGATTTTTACATAAGAAGTCATAAAGATTTCAATCTTCAAATCCACCGTAGATTCGGTCATTAAAAAAATGTTTTAATGTTTTTGCATACTATAACAATTTATAGCATTTTCGAAATAAAAGTATTTTCAGTCGCCCACCTGCTACACGATAAAAACATTTCAAAATAAAATAAACAATGCATTTGAAAAGTAGATGCATTAGGTTTTAAAATAAGCCCAGAGTTATTATTTTAGGGCGTTCCTTACAAAAATATAACAGTTTAAATTAGTGTCCAAATATTAATTGGAATCACTATATATCCATATATATAAAGTCAAGCTTTTTAATTTTATTGTAGATGAAAACAAAATACATATCATAGTAAGTTGATCAATCTTGAGCTTTATCAAACACTTGTCTTATTATAACACATCTTATTGCCAGATTTGATGAAAAAAAACAAATGCAGATTTTCCATCAACTATTATTAAAGAAGTTTGGAAATCATTGAGCCACTTTTGCAATGAATGTAAAATAAATTTTTTAGTAAATGTAAATAGTTTCAAGTAAATTTTTTAGTAAAAGTAAATGTAAATTTTTTAATATTTTATTTTAATTTACGATTTTTGATAACATTTTATTGGAAACGATGAAAAATTACGCTGACCAATAATATTATGAACGATATATTTAAAAAAATGTTTGTAATTAATGTATTAATGACTATTTAATTTTCTATAAAACAGCTTACTACCAAACATTTTATTATTTAATATAGAATGCGGTAAAAAAGATAAATGTGAACAATTAAATGTAAATTCTCTATTAACATCTCGTTGTACTTAAATATTTGCATGATAGAAGTTTCGTACTCTGCGAATCTGTTATTCGAAACCAAGCTCAAAGGGCTTAACGATTGTATGGCTTCAATTTCTTTTTCGTCACGACTCTAGATTCCTATTAAAACTTTCGAAAAACTTTTACGAGGCCGATTAAAAGATAACATAAACTATTACAGCAGCTGGAAAATGTCAAATTAACTAGCCTTATCGATCCAAATTGAAATTTTCTAAGCGAATAAATCAATAAATACTATCAAAGTGTTCGTAACTTGATGAAAAATTGTCGACATTTTAAACTCTTGTAACTTCGAGAAAAATACCATATAACAAATTTTAAGGAATTATTACGAAGTTTCAAAATTAATCTGTCAGTTGTCATTTGACTAGAAATCAAAGCAAACATGTTTACTGTTATATTATACAGTATAAAACTTGAAATCGTATATATACGATTGGTGAATGATTCTGCATGGAAATATAAGTCGAAAAGATAGAATAACATTCTTTTACTTAAGATGTCGTGTTTGAAAAAAAATCAACTCTAAAAATTTGTCAAGTATATGTGAATTTGGCTGGATTTTCTTTGGATTCCAAAGAAAAGAATAATTGAATAGACAAGAAAGAATAATTGAAATTTGTTATTCTACCTGTAATAACAAAAAAATATCAAATAATATCGATTTGAAAAATATCGAATAAAATTTTATCATAAGATACTTTATTTTTGATATATTCGAGATAATTGATATATTCAGATAATTTTTAAAAAATCGATAATACTTTTTCACTTGGAATAAATTTAATAATATTTCAATATTAATCCAAAATGAAAGTATTTTAATATGCTTTTTATAAAAAAATGTTATAATATATTTTTGTGTTATCGACTATATTTTTGATGCATCGTATGCATTACTATTCTTAATCTTATAATAATATAGTCATTTATACAGGATACTGGTAGTACGATACAAGCGAAAAGGGGGTGATTCTACATAAGAAAATAACTCGAAAATAAAAAATAAAATATTTTTCTAAGATGCTCCGTTTTCGAGAAAAACTAGTTTGAAAATTTAGCAAGCATGCTGGAATTTGACTAATTCTAAAGGTATTAGAATTATTCTACGTACAAAAATAAGTAAAAAATGTAGAATAAAATTTTTTCATTTAAAGCTTTATTTTCAAGAAAATAGACTTTGAATATGTTTCGGTATTTGATAAATATTCAAATTCAATTTTCTCGAAAACTAAGCATCTTACAAAAAAATTTTATCCTACATTTTTTATTTATTTTCACACGTAGAATAAGCTCTTATTAATTATTCTTTTTTGTCAGATTTAGAATTAGCTAAATTCAAGTATATTTGATAAATTCTCAAATTTAATTTTCTTAAAAACTAAACCTTATATAGGAAAATTTTATTCTTTTCCTGGGACATCCTATTTATTTATTGGTTTTTAAATAATATTACGTTTTAGGAACTTAATTCTCTGAATAAGAATAACTTTTTCGGTTTTAATCTAACAACTAATAATGTTAATTTCACAATTGGTAAATGGCACAGATGTTGCATTTTCAGTTACTAAGTAAAGATAATGCCACGATTGTATCGTTGATCTTTAATATATCAATTAAACACGTTCAAATTCTACTTTCTACAATGCGAGGCTTTAAACAGAAAAGTTTTATTTTACTATTGCATTTATTTATGCAGACAAAATAACTTATTAATTATTTATTTTTGGCTATTCGGGAATTAACTAAATTCCAATCTATTTACAGTTAAACTTGATTTTAACAAACACTTAAACTTGATTTTATTGTAAAATCTTAAATAAAGAAAATACTATATTTTTTTTTATTCATTTTTGCATATGCAATTATCTTCCGTTCGACTGTACTATAATTTCAATGTAACATTCTTTATTATATTACTATTCATAACTTCTTTCATAAAATTTTTTCGATTATTATTTGCTTTTATAAGATATTTTGTTTCCTTTGTATAAGTAAAGAATTTTGAAATAGTACAGCATCGAAAAAGATATTGAAAGTTCATGTTCATTATCGCTCATTAACAAGAGACTTCGATGAGATAAAACACCGATGAGAAAAAGATTGAAATGAAAATATAGTATATTTCACACAGTATTTTTAGAAAATATGAAAAAAAATTAGATTAAACTTTTCCACTTCTTTTCTCAATCATTTTGAAGGATTGAGATTTAATTAAAAATAATTGAGATTAAATTAAAAAGAAATTGATTAAAAAGAATCTTTTAGAAGTTTTATAAAATTTTCCGAATTTAATAAAGCGCATAGAATTTCTATATGCAAATTAAGTTTGAATAATACAAACGTCATAAAGTTACATAACATTTGTTTTTTAATAAATTTATGTAACATATGTTCAACTCTTCTTGATAGAAGATGAAAATATCGATTTCTATTCGAAAATAAATGTTGTTTGTGAAAAAAGTTGGTATCTCTCGCATAAGAATATTTTTTTCTTTATCATAATTTTAGATGAAATTTTTTTACAGGAAAGAAAAAAAATTTGTCTTTATCATACTGTCTACTATTTGCTATTTACTATTTTCATGGAATCTGTGTCAATAACAATTTATTTATTATTATTGTTAAACGTTATTTGTTGTTATGTAACCTGACAATATTAAATAGAACAATTTAATTATTCAAATCTTCATGTCGATTAATTAATGAAAAAAATTAAATGATGCCGATTGTTAAATATGGAAGTCCTTCTGTGATGGTATAATAGAGTTTTGGCAATAACATGACGAGAAAGTTATTGAAAATAAACTTCGTTTTAAGAAAAGAAACATATCACGACTTGTAAGACCTTGTTATATATACGTATAAGCAAACGGTAAAAACGTACATGAAAAGAAAATATTTTATAACCATCTTTTATTATTATTAATATTTAATGAATTGTTGCTAATATATGTTTTCTAATACAATATATATAAACTATCTTTTACAAGTAGTATTCCTATATTTTTAAATTACAGTGTATATATGTGAACGTAAAGACTTTTTGTGTAGTGTTATTGTTTGTGTGTCCATGTGTGCGCGGGCGCGTGTGCATATGTGTGTATGTATTACCTACAAAAAAGTTAACTACAAAAAATGTAAATCATTATTGAAACGAAATATAAAAGACATAAATATGAAAGGAAGCTGTGGTCATATACGGGTCTTTTAGTTTCTACCTAAACATAGTTTATTACGTTAACATAGTTTCTCGTGTTAACATAGTTTCTTATTGCTTATAAGAAGATATTCTGAAAATTTAATTTTACAACAAAATATGTACACACAATACTTATGTAACATTTATCTATGATAAAATCTAACTATAAATATTATAGAAAAAAACAATTACAAGAATTGATTATAATCAGAAATTTTACAAATCAATTAACAAATATTTGCAACTCAACATTGTTTCTATTTTAGATTCCTTTTAAATTGACGAGGGTATGCGAGAGTTTCAGTAGATACATGTATTATGATTAGAATTGATTCTAAATAAAAATTTATTATAAATAAATCATAAAAAATATAATAAATTATAAATATTATAATTATTGCTCTATTTTGCATATTACATTGTTATAGATGAAATTCTTAATATAATTTTCTTAAAATGATATTAATCAAATTTCGATAACATATTTTGACAACAGTAAAATTTTTCAATCATTGTTTATAATCTTGTAGTCAATTGTCCATATTTGTATTTTTTAATCGAAATTTTTCAAATAAATGACAGGTTTTCTGTTCTCTATTTTTCAGGAACCGTTAGATCGAAGTTCGTTAGATCGAAATTCTAAATTTTATAAAAGAATGCAATCGATTTTAGGTACAAAAGTTATTTTGATACAAAATCTTTTTATATTAAAACATCATATTATGCTCGGCTAGCTTCAAACATTAAATCTACATTCGACAAATACTGTTTAACAGCATTCTCGTTAAGTTTTGAATGATTTTATAAGCTTGTAAAATCGAATACGCAACAATATGATATAGATTTTGATATATTATATGTATTTTATATATATTTTATATATATTTCATATTTTTTTTATATATTTTTTATATGCAAAAACATTCGCAATTAAATTAGTATATGATTAATAATTGAGATTAGATCAATCAGTGTCTCTATTTAGTACTTTAATCTTGGTTTACCTATTCTACTGAAAACGCATTGCTATGACTATCATGATTCAATCCTTGCAATATGATACTATGAGGCACATCGTCAACTTTCCAATGCGTTTGATATAAAGTAAGAAAATAAATTCATACCCGTGATAGTAAATTCCTCTGACTCTTGTTCATCTGCATTCAACAATTCCGATACCGTAGTCATCTGGTTCTCGACATCCTGCTTTCTGTAGAGTTCCGTCGACGGGATCATCGTTGTCGTCACCAGAACTTTACTTTTGCTTTTGTTCGCGCCGATGTCTTTCTCCTGACTCCTTGAGAAGTTTCTAGTCAACGCATTGGTTTTAAATAACGCCTTGATCAACAATTGCCGATCACTTGGCTTCATGAAAAACGGCAATGACAAGCAGCCCAAGAGAAAAAGAATCATCAACGTGATTATGCCGTTTCTAATGATACAGCATGTTCTTGAAGAGTCCGATTTTTTCGATGTCCGAGGGGACCCAGACGAGGAGAAATGATCCGTTTGCGGCAAAATTTTGTACTCCAGGCAGGTATCGCCTTTCCTTACCGTTTTGTACATATTTAATAAACCTATTGAAAAAATTAAGCAGTGAGTTCTATGATTACAAGTAGCTGGATACGCGAATCACGAATTTTATAGATGAAATTCAAGATGAACAATTTTATTACATTTATTAATTGAACACTCAGAGATAAATACGAATAATAATCATATTTTTATAAAAATTTATCTATTTCTGTTAATTAAAAAAATTTTATACGAAATGAATCATCCAATACAGTACTATAAGGTAAAATCTTAATGATCACTAACAACATTGGGTTTCAATAAATTGAAATATTTATACAGGTAAATTTTTTCTGAAGTTGACGTAAAAATTAAAAAAACATATTTGTATTAATTTTATAAAATAATAATGTAAAATGTATAAAATAATAATAATGTAATAATATATACATTCTTGTAATAAATTAATATAATAATATATAATATATAATAATTGTAAAAAGTATAATAATATATAAATAATTATTTTATTATATTTTAAAATATAACTTTATGAAAAAATATTTAATATAAACCACGAAAATATATTGTTAATAAATTTTGGAATATAAATTTTTCTATAATTAGAACTACGTTATTTTGTAAAATAAAAAGACACGATTATTCGATTTTACAAAATTAATTTATGGATATATATATTTTCGGTCGTTCAAAATCTTCTTCGATAAATTGTAATAAAAATTAGAAGATTTTAAGATAATCGTTAAAACAATTTTTGTTCTGTCATATCATAGATCTGTCATTGTGAAACGCATCTAAAATGAAAATTATCTAAAAAATGTTGCAATGACTTAAAATTTAGTAACTTTATATTGTAATGCATAATTATTTACTTCGATAATTAAATAGAGTTAAAGAGGCAGTGCTTTCCAATATTATTCCAATATAATGCTAACGAAAGTACGAAGGCAAGTTTCCTTGCGTAAAGATAAAGTAAATATACTACACGACCTGTTGAAAGCAGTTTCCACTGTAGAATTTACTGACTCAATCTTTACAGCTCAATCAGAACTGTTTTCTTAAACGACACGAGGCAACAGAAATATCAGCTGGATAGAAGAAACAGTTTCATTTAGGCGACAATGTGGAAATGAAATTTGACATGAAGATAAATGTGGTTTATGTCGCGGCAATTTTCCACGTATCAGGCACATAAATTTAACAGAAATTGTATTTTAAATTGAAAAATGTAGAGATTTCTTCCTTATTCTTTTTTATTCTTCAAAAATTTTATTCACAAATCGAAAGGAATTTTATGATAGAAAGAAAAAGATCAAAGGATTTTAATCAAATATCTTGGATTTTTAAAAGGTTCAAAGAAATTATTCTGTTAGATATTTCTTTCCGTTCAGTATTCTATATTTCTTTGCATAATATTTTATAAATAAATAATTAAGAATAAAAATAGAAGAATGAAAAACATCTTAGTTCCTTTTTATAGAAACATATAACTCAAAATGTAAATTCTAAAAAGTAGAAAATAAAATGGAAAACGCTTCTAAAAGCGGTATAATATGACTGTAAAAATTTATGTAATGGACCATTACAAAATAAACGTAAATGTTAGAATGTTAATGCGTTAGAATTGACTTTTTTTCCTTTATACGAAAATATTCCAGCGTTATATTAATAATAATAAAATATTATTATTTTTTATTAGAGAACAATCTTCTTAATTACAAATATGAAAAAAATACATCGTTGTACTGAACGCGATAAAGAAAAACAATTTTTTTCAATTCAAGCGTATTATAAGAAAGCTTGGAAATTGTATATTAATACATGTTTGCACGAGCTGAAATTTATCGTGGTTGAATTATTAAAAAAGAAATAGTAATATAAATGTAATTTTAACCTTTTTACCATTTCAAACAGCCTCTTTACAACTTTGTGTAACGTTAATTTTAATTTTAAACTTGAGGAACCATTTTATTTTAAAGCACGAACATATAAGACGAGTGACGCTAAAATGTTAGACTAAATAAAATACTCTTATCTACAAGATAGATAAAAAAAATTCTGTAGTTGTGAAAGTAATCTTTAGCGAATTTTAAGTTTTATGTGATAAAATAAAAAATATAGTGATTTAATTGTGAATCGTTTTGAAATTCTACTAAAAAATTCAACTTCTTATTTCAACTACGTGTTAAAAATTAAATACCACAAATTTAAATAAATAACTGTGTTAATTAGCTGCAGAATAATTATTCGACATATAGTAGATTCTCTCTAAACTAGTCAATATGGGATTGGCCATTTGATCGGATAAACGAATAATTGATTAATAGTATAAACGAATAATAGATAAATAGATTTTGTGAATAATTAATTTAAAATACATAAATACTTCTAATATTAAGAGCACGTGAAAAAAGTCACATTGTAAAACTAATTTTCGTTATAATTAACTTGATATGCAACAGTTGTCTAGTGTCTTATATTAAAGTCCATTATTGCTATAGACTCATAATCTGTTTCTATGACAAACATTAGTCGGTTCAAGCGGAGACCGGTTAAAATTGAATCGCATAAAAAGGAGTCTACTATCTTTGAATAGGACAGAATCGTGTTATAATTCAGTTATCTTAATAATGATAATCTTTATTATTATAAACATATATGTAAATACGTATGTACGTTTCCTTTTAAAGGAATGGGTTATTACATGAAATTTTAGTAATACACATAAACTAATTAACTGAAGTAACAAACATACATTAAATATATATAATTTTTAATATAAACTTTAATATAAACAACTATAAACTTAATATAATCAATATGATATAAAATAATATAAATTAACAAATAGAAGAAAATAATATAAATATATAATAAATTTTAGACCATAAGAATGAAATATAAAATATTGTACACGTGTATAATGTACATATAAAAAGGTACTACTAAATGTACAAAACATGTTACCGCACATAAATCATTTATTCCTATTATACTAGGACTAAGATTAGATAATAAGTAAATAATAAGATTTATAATAAAAACCTAAAGTACAAATAAAGTAAACAATTAACAACAACAATCAATCAATGTAAATATATAAATGTAATATAAATAATATAAATTATATTTCATTTTCATTTTCATTTTCGTTAAGATGAATAACATTGAATAAACGTATCATGCAAGTCTTAATAAACGATCCGAATATTTCAAATTGTATACTGTAAAAACAGTAAAATATTTGTAAAAATATAAGATGTTAAAATATAAAATTTCACTTTGTTACAAATAGTTACAGTTCAATAGCAACAACCATCGGTATTTTTCAAAATTCCCAAAAGACTATCGGCTGTGGCTAGAGGAAAGAAAGGACAACAAAATACGATGTCTTCCGCCGGGAGGAGTCGATTCCTAATTTTCCTTAGGAAATATTAAATCACGAGGCTAGTCGACACCGTCGCAGACAGTTAACACCGACGGGTTCCAATAATGCAGTCGGAAGAAGCAAAAAAACAAACAAACAAACAAACAGAGAATAAACGAAAAAGAGAAAAATATAAATATCCATCTATTGATTCTGTTATTTTTTCGAATAGAATGGAAAAAAATTTTACGGCACTATAGCGAGCTAACAATTTTGATCAGGAGCAAAAAAAAAAAAAAAAAATAGCAGGACGAAGACGATGATAATGCTAACGAAGCATATTTCTTTGCAAACAAATGGCGAGATTCAAGGAACCTCGTTCGTTGGATGACTAAAAGGATTTCTATAATGTGTAGAATAAAATATCGTAGAATAAAAAACGGAAAAGAAGGAACGAAGGAAAACGGATACTTACGATATGTGAACAACCGAAGGGGTTGGTTTTTTCCGTTTATATTTCCGGCAGCCTGTTCCGTCGGAACGAACGCGACAATCCGGGACAGACAGAACCTCGCCTGTGAGAGAAATCCTGTTGGAAAATGCGCAGATGCGCCTGGCCAGGGGGTGGTGGTATTAATGCGCATGCGTCGCTCTCAGTTTCCGGAAGTCCGTCAGCATTTCAATGCTTTCGGCGTTCGACATCTAACGGTGGACAGTGGACATTAGACGGGGATATAAGGAACTACGATGAGTTCAAGGACGTTGAAAGACGGGACGACCTTGAACTTCTTGGTACATGTGTCTGATAAAAAGTCGTTTATCTTGAATCTTAGATCTTGGTTGGAAAACTTTTTTGTTGAGTGATATTAATAGGAGAAAAGAAAATAATTTGAGCAAATATATCGGTGCTGAAGGAATTGCTCTTATTGCTAAAAGTATAAAGTGAAGTTACTCGTTTATAAATAAATTAAATTAATTTAAAGCAGTTTCTAGCACAAAAGCCGCTTTGAAATCTCACTTTAAGTTCAATTCTTTGGGATGGAGGAAAAAAAAATAAATGTATATGTTACAAAGAACAAGGAAAATTTCACTAATAACATTTTATTATTTTGTTACAAAATATAAATATAAATCGTAAATATAATAGAAAACATTTTTCTTTGATTCTGTCTAAAAATAACTTATTTTTAAATGGAAGACATTACTTTTTTTTTACAATATAGTGTTGAGAAGTTACTCCTGTTTCTTTAAAAAAAAGGAACTTTCGCCCTATTTATTTGTCTCTTCGCAAAATTTTTAAGAAATATAAAGAGACACTCTCCATCATAATGCTTTGCATTATTGTCGAGGAACGTTTATTTTATTGCATAGTTGGCATAGCCGTGGAAGAAGCAATATCACCAGCATCCCCAGATCTCCACAGCTGCGTTATTGTCTTTACTTGCGTATGGAAATTTACACCCTAGAAAAATATCATACTTAGAAACTATCCTGCAACTTTATACAAAAGCTACAATAGCACTGTCCGACAAAAAACAATTTTTCTTATAATGAATAGTTATTTTGAATAGATTTTTGTGCGTTAATTACAAATATAAAATTTAAAAAGAACACAAATTTCCAAATTTGTATCTGTTTTGTGTTTGAACAAAAAAAGATATATAATTTCTATTTACAGAAAATAATTTTACGCATTATTTCAAATACAATAATGTATGGGTGCGTGCGTGCACCTACGTTACATTTAAATATATTTAAGCAATCATTAAAGTTAAGCAAGGATAGGTAAATAGGATTTTGATGCAAAAAGCATTGAAACTTGACAATCGGTGTTTTGTCAATTATTATAGAAAGGTAGATTATATATTAAAATATACTATAAATGATTATCAAATTTCAGTGATTTTTTTTTATAAAATTTGTAAATTAGCAAAGTTTATGAAGCGAAGTTATTCGTGAAACAGATTCCCAGAAAGCTATATTAATCCATTTGCAACATGAAGCGGAATATTTCACGAGTAGTATCTTTTATATCATCAAACGCAGATAATAACCCGCAAAGAGCAATTTTATATTTATTAATATTCTATATTGTTAATATATATTTATTGATATATTATTTTTCTCAAATATTTTTTTTTAATTAGACTGTGGATTTTTATGTAAATTTATATTTTTGAAAATATAGTCAAATAGAAGATAGATACAAAATTTTTTTACGCACAAAATCTCATAGAAAGCACTAAATTTTGAATATTTTACATACATTTTTTGTATTTAAGTCAATTTTGCATTTTAAAATTTCTTATAAATGTATAAGAATTCACAGTGTAATTATAATCAATTAATATTAATACACAACAGTAAATATTTTAAACAGAACAAATTGTGAAAAAATAATTTGATAAATGCACATTACAAATCATATAAACTTCAGTGATACCGATACATAATAAAATGTAAACTTGCAGTTGGGTTAAGACAATCTGCGTAATTTATGTGTAACATTTTGAGTAAAAAATACAAATATGAACCATTTACTAGAAAATTATCAACAGTAATCGAGTAAAGTTTTTAATTATAATAATTAATTATAATAATTAGAGAATTGTTTAGTATGTTCAAAATATATCGATTCCAAGGAATCAAAATTTAATTAATATTCATATATATATATATTAATTAATTAAATAATATATTTTCAAAAAAGTTATAGACGTTGTAACTTATATTATAAATCTTGCCACTCAACTTAATAAATTTAACAGAACATAAGATCCTTAATAACATGCATGAAATATTACGCGAAGTGAGCGCTATTGAGGATCATTGAGCGCAATTTTCTAAAATAAATTTTTCAAAAATGGAGAGTCATAAAGAAAAACGAATTTCAAATTCGTAATTAACGTGCAGAAATAACTGTTCGCTACTAGAAAAGTTAAAAATAAAAATAAAAATAAGAATTTGTCGGACAATATACTTTGTATTACTTACATGCTTTCCGTAAAAATGATTATCACCCAAAAAGGAACCTTTATTTCCAGTAAAGCTGAACATGGGTAATGGGACTGGAATAGGAACATTTACACCAACTTGGCCAGCTTCTATTCTATTTACAAACGCTCTTGCCGTTGCACCGTTTGACGTAAACACAGCAGTTCCATTCCCATAAGGATTGTTGTTAATAATGTTGATAGCCTCATCTAAAGTATCAGCAAATATACAGGAAAGAACGGGTCCAAAGATTTCCTCGGTATAACATTGCATCGAAGGCTAAAAATCATACATGATTTGTACAATTGTATTCTATATCAGCATATGAAATCTGTCATAAAAGAAAAAAAAACGAGATTATGCTAATAACTTCTTCCATTAATCCTACTATAGTTCTCAAATTTTTATATTTCAATTCTACACTTTATCAATTTAACAAACTAGAAAGATTTCTAATGTTTTAAAAAAATGTTTAACATAAAAATGTTTAACATAAAAAACCTACTAATAAAAATTTTTTGATATTTTATTTAGACTCGAACTGTTTTTTAATTTAAAAAAAAATTAAAGTAGGTTGAAAGTGATTGAAAAAACGCAGCAAAGTTAAACAAATATAAAAAATCAATTGCAATTGTTATTATTTTTAAATAATACAAATATAGAAAATCAATTGCAATTGTTATTATTTTTTAAATAATTTTCTTTTGATAATGAATTAACATACTATAGTCTTTTTGAGTTGAGAATTGTAACATTCGCTAAATAAAACAGTCATTTCTCTCTTTCTATTTCTTGCTTGGGCTATAAGCTTTGTTATTTTTGTGTCCAATCTCATAAAACAAATTTAAAACATTGCAAAAAATAATATATGGAAATTATGAAGAAGTTACTATCTGAATTATAGGCAATTATAGGCAATTATAGTCTAAATTATTATACAAAACCTAACATCAAAACTTAGAAGTTTGCAATAAAAATTAGTTTCTCTTTTCAATTTTAATTATCTAAAGTCCATCAATCTTTTTCAACGAGTTTTCTGCATTATCACCGAATTCATAAAGTAATTATTAATCGCGTTGAATTAATATCATTAGGTATATACCTTCACGTTTGTTAATACGGTTGGTCCAACGAAATTTCCCTTTTCAAAACCACGGACAACTAGTCCTCTTCCATCCAGAGCCAAAGTGGCACCATCTTTTACTCCTGTTTCGATCAGATCGCATATTTTCTTTTTAGATTGTGGCGATATTACTGGTCCAAGATCGGTACCAGGTACATGTCCAGCATTCACTTTTAATTTCTTTGCAGCTTCCACTAATTCCGGTATCCAATCCTTTGAATTGCTTACGAATATGGCTACAGAAAGCGCCATACACCTTTGGCCAGCAGCACCGAAAGCAGCACCCACAATTTGGGAAATAGTTTTGTTTTTGTTTGCATCTGGCAAAATTACACAGTGATTCTTCGCTCCCATATTACACTGCACACGTTTTCCATGCGCGCTGCTTTGTTTATAAATGTATTTTCCCTGTAAAATAAAACATTTTTATTATATACATTTGATTTATTATATATATATATATAAATATATAATATATATATATATATAAATATATAAATATATATAAATATTTTTTTCAAAATTCGAATATACAGAAGTATATATTTTCCAAAAATGTTCATGCTTCGATTTTTTGGCTAAAATTTTGAAAATGAGTTCCTTTTAAGAAAAACAAAGTGACTCGAAGATTAAAATTCGAAATATTTTTGCATATATTTCTATCATATCAAATATTCATGATTTTTCACACAAAACTTCTGTCTGTATTATATAGGAAATGTAAAAAATAACACTGAGATAATAAAACATATCATAAAATATTGGATCTTAATTTTTCTTCCATCAAAAATCTTTCTCATAAATATTGTTTTTATCGTAAGGGAATTTATTTTTAACAGCCAAATTAGAGCATAAATTCTGGAAAACATAGCCAAAATTATTAAATTGTTCTGCAAAATGAACTTATATTGCTATCAATAGATTGCAAATTTTTATGCAAATTCATACTGGAAATATAATTAGAAAAATAGAACCTTTATAGAAAATTATTTTACATGTCGAATATTATTGGAAGCATTTAAATATTTTATATATTCTTTTATATTGCATTTTAATGTGTATGGAATGGAATGTTTAATTTTTAATTTTTATAAAATGTTACATTATAACACATTATTTAGTTATTATTTAGTTATTTATAAAATATTTTTTACAATAATATTTATCTTGTTTTCATTATTATGCAATAATAAAGATAATAAAGATATCGATCACCGATAACCACTTAGCAATAAATATGTTAACCCTTAAGTAGTGATTATATTAATTTATGTTAGATTACTAAAGTTTAGGACATCTGATTTTATTCTATGTTCTTCCCGTGGTAGAAACTGTATAGATAAAATTGCAAATTCCAAAATGAAGTAATTTAATTCTAAATTATTATGATGACAAATTATTGAATCTAGTTATCAGTTATTACATTTGAATATTGTCGATGAAACTATTATAACCGAAACGGAAAAATACCTATCATGTAGAAGCAGAATTTTACATAGAAGAAACATTATCCAGCTGCAACGAATGATATGCGTACAAAGCAACGATCGATATTAACGTACCGCTTGATCGGAACCAACAAAAGAAACTGCCTTGATATCAGGATGTTCGCAGATGAAATCGACAGCGGTGTGTTGGCCGTGGATAATATTCAACAATCCTGGTGGAGCACCGGCTTTACTGAACAAATCAGCTAGGATCATCGAAGCTCCTGGCACACGCTCCGATGGTTTGAGGATCGTGGCATTTCCACAGACGACTGAGATAGGAAACGACCAAAGAGGTATCATCGCGGGGAAATTGAACGGACAGATGGAGGCAGTTACGCCAAGGGGAACTTTGTAGGAAATTATGTCCATATCTGTAGCGATATTTGGTGTGCTCTCGCCCATTTGTAACGAAGGAATTGCGGTACACGCGTCCACTACCTCTGCAACATAAATCAACACCGGCCGTATGATCTATTGCCTGTGTAATTACGCTTATGCCAGACGGAATGTAATTACAATGAATTACTTAACCCCCGTGTACGTATTGATCGACATTCGAAAATTTTAAAACAAATTTTACATCAGTTTGATAACACTATAACTTAAAAGTACGTGAATATTTTCTTAACTTTCATAATTATCTAAAAAAAGATTTGTAGCCTCTAATTTGAATGTATATTATGTATTCTGGTTTGTAGTTTATTGAAAAAACATATTTTATTAATAATAATAAAAAATGTGATATCCATTATATTTTCTTTCAATATCGAAACACCATCATACTATGATAGAATGACTCCCATGTTAAACAATGGACACCATTTAAAATAGTAGACAATTGTCATGAACTTTTCCTTAATTTCTCAGCGGTATTATTGATAATTTTCTCCTCTCATCGATTTCAGTATATCAAGTACATATATCATCATTCTAAATAACTTTAACCTTATACATATACGCTTATCTTTAGTTTCTGAGATATTGAACTTCGATAAAATTTTAGAAAATTTGTCATTTCTGACTTGACTGAAAACAATGTTTATGAAAAGTAATTTTGGCGGCCTAAAAGTTAAAATATAAAATTTCAAGAAAAAAAATTACAATATATAATTATAAAAATACGATAGATAGTATTACGATAAGTAATATAATAAATACGATATATAGTATTAAAAATATTTTTGGTTTCGTCTTATGCCATCAATCGTCTTATGGCAACCAATTTAAAAGATCTAATTCAAATACTCATTTTTAAAACTAAATAACTTTTTAAAGAAGAATATAAACATTTATTTGATACAGAGCGAAAAAAAAATGATTTTTAATAAATAAATCGTAAAACTCAAGAAGAAAAGTATGTCTTTGTAGTATGATAACATATATATTTCAATTATTTTTAATCTCAATCAGCAAAAATTCCAAATAATTGTATAATTCAAGTGTATAATCTGAAGCATCTCGTTACAAGTCGATGAAATTTTCTCTTTAATAAGTATAAAATATATTTTTAAGAATATTTCGAAAGTTAAGATCGAGAGACGGTGACATGTAGGGAACATCATATTTCATTGAAATCGGTGAGAACAAACTCTTAAATAATTACTCATTTATTTGTTTAAAACATTTTACTCAATATAAAGCAATAAAGTAATAATATTAAAAAATAATAATTAATTAAATTAATGTAAAGTATTTTAATTAAGCATTTGATTAAATTAATAAATATTTTAATTAATTATTTTTAGTTATTATTTTTAATTAAATTATTTGATTTAATAATGTTAAAATATATTACATGTGTATTCGTAAAAAATTTAATAATAATAGTATACTACATTATACATATATTACAGATTCCATAAAAATATTAAATATTCATATATTTTTAAGCGACAGTCAGTCTCAATCTCAAAATTGAGATATTTATGGCAATATTATATATTGATAGCAATACCAACAATAATTTAATCATATAACTAAATCATATCGCGTATTATATTTTTTTAAAAAACTTACGAAGTCCTCGAAGAACGTCGCCTTCGGCATCAGCCATTGTTTTCCCATTTTCCTTTACCATGTTCTCTGCGATTTCTTTCTAAAGAAGAATTTTTCATATAAATTTTTACAGAAATGTAAAATATTAGTGAATGCAAAAAGAACACATAATTAATTCAAAGATTTTTTAATGTGAATTGAAGAGTTTTCGATTTGTAATAAATAAAATGCGGATTTTTATGCAAATCCATATTTTTCAGAATATAATTAAAAATATTGAATTTATACAGACTTGTTTTACCCACTAAATATTATAACAAGTATATATAAGTATCATTCATACATTTTTGCATAGATTTTGTGCAATTTTATACTTTTCACAGTCTACTATTAATTCTAGAGAATCTCAAATAAGCTAATACGAATAGATCTCTATCTCTATCACATAAATATAAATATGCCCATATATAAAATAAAATTCAAATGTTTATAAACTTACAGAATGTTCGCGTATAAGAGCTTGATATCTAAGCATTAGCGTTTGTCTAGTTAAAACACTAGTATTTTTCCATTTTTTATATGCTTCCTTTGCACTTTTCACAGCCATCTCCATTTCTTCTTTTGTGGATTTTGGTGTGCGACATAACAATTCATTCGTTGCTGGATCATGAACGTCAGTGAATTCCGTGGCCTTCGATTCTGAAACAAAGCGAAATCTTTTTATGAATCATTTGCGAAAAATAAAACAAAATTTACAACATTTAATTTTGGATTTTTCGAAAAGTAATACGTTGAGAGATATTACAAAAAGAGTATATTCCATTTTTACTGTAAATCTGACATGTATTTTTCCCATACCGTTTTTACTCAAAACACAACACAATTATTCCATTTAATTTCGACGGCATCTACATAATTCGTGCCATTTATTTCATTCATAAACGTTCCTTATTAAAACAATTCTCAGAATTGAATTCGACTCGAAATACCACCTTTTCTGTACAGTTTCAATGAGTGCTCCAGTAGTACTTCTCCATGAATCACGGACTTCAATTAAATGCCTTTAAAAGCATACTTTAAATATTCATAACAGGCTGTATCGTACGAAAAAATAGGCTCAAGAGTGTTTTAAAAAGAGAGTATCCATCAAGATTGCGTGTTCTAGATAATATCGGTCTTAACAGTCTTAGTTTCTGGCAATTGAATTGTGAATGAATCAATTCAACGAAATAAACACACGTTTTAGTACTTCAATAGATGCGTTAAAAACGTTGCTTCATATTTGGTTTGTTATTTCAGAGTATCGATTCAATTACAATTTAATTTTTCTTATCTCTGCGTTTTTTTTTTTTTTTTTTTTTTTTTTTTTTTTTTTTTTTTTATAATCCATATCGACTTCTACCAAGAACTTTCATTTTCATATACTATTGCAATTCGATAAATTACATTTTTAATACAATAAAATAATTACCTACGAATTGGCCATCAATGTACATCTTAACCGTTGGTACGCTAGTGCTGTAAGTCCTTGCGATAAATTGCGCCTAAAATATTATTGAGTTAATGTTAAACAATTCTTGATTAGATATGAAAGAGAAGTAACGAAATTTATATAGTATTTATCAGTATTTAAAAAGAATGAAATCCTATGTCCATATGATTATAGAAACATTTTACGAAAAACATATTGTAATAAAAAATTTAAATTGTCGGAGCAGATTTTACATTGTAAAATATTCCAATCTATGACCTTTATTTATCATATCATTTGCAATCATAATTACTTAAAATTATAATGTAGCAATATTAAAGAAAGTGATAAACATTGAACTAAAATATTCAGAATTGAAATACAATGACTTAACATTTAATATTCTCATGAAAGAAGATAAAAATAGTAACATATCTATATCTATATCTTATTTTTAATATAATTCTATATCAATATCATTTAATTGTAAGCACAATTACAAATTTTCAAAAATATAAATTTAAAATCATCTTTATATTATAATTTTTTGCATTATGTTTCAATTTAATCAATTCCGAGTTGTTGTAATTTAATGTCAATAAATTTCTTCAATAATAAAAAATTACAAAAATTATAAAACAAACTTTTTTTTTATACAGACTGTATGTTTTATAATAACCTTACTATTTGAACCAGTAGATCCTCAACAAACGAAAAGCAACGTTAATTCATTGTGATTTACGATTCATTATGAGCCTAATTTTATATCCCAGATAGCATGTAAACGTATCACTTGCACGAAAACCCGCATGTTTCTTTTTCGAGACAGCTTAAATGCAGTAACAGAATAAATTCATTCAATTGGCCTGATTCTCCAAGTGAGCAAGACTACGATAAGAAATCTATCGGAAGCCATTGTTTGCTCCACATATGATAAGTATCGCTTTGACACGATACTCTTCTAACAGGCAAATCGATTCAGCCCTAGTTACGTAAAGTATGCAGGCTTGACTATTACACAAGATTGATAATGACATTCCTCTTTAGCGTTATTGGTCTCGGTGATTCTGAGGTCGTAATTCAACTCAATTGGAACGAAGACACATAGTCAACAACTATTTCGAGAACAGCGTGGTTCAAGAAATTTTCTTTAAATGAAAAAGCCTTGTAAAAGAAGTTGCATATGCCAAAATTTGCATGATTAAAAAGTGCTCTACGTGTCAATAGGAATGCTGTAATATACAAAATAAATAAAATTTTTCTTTATACTGGCAATTCAAACTCGTCTCTGTAGAAAAAATTGAAAAGAAAACACTACATGCAAACATCAAACATCACTTTATTCGGTCCAAATTGATGTATTTATTATACATGCTGATGATTGTAAAACAATAACTTTTAATTTAGCTACTTGTATTTACAAATACTATATAGTCTTCTATATAGTTCTAAATACAATACTCTTTGAACTATTTCTTTCCTTTATCATTATTTTCGAATTCGATTTCGTTGTTATATGGATTCTATACATTTGTATTCCGCATTTAATTAAACATTTCAAAATTATTACACATTTTAAATTTAAATAAAACTTTAATTAACCCATTAACAGTTCATTCCAAGTAACACTCAAGCAGAGCATCAAATATCGAACAATTTACTTTATCCAAGTAAACTTGGCTAAAGTATTTTTAATAATAATTTTTTGAGTTATTGTCTATAAAATTTATACAAATTGTTGTGTACAACAGTAAAGAAAACTCAACCAGATAATGTATGTTGTTCATTATGAATTGATAAGGAGAAAGATTGATAGTAGAATTTGCGAACATGTTTTTCTACATTTTTTTATCACATATGAAAGTATCTTATATTATAAAAACATTATACATTTTTTGTGGGAAATTCATAATTTTATGAGGCTATTTTTGTCCTATTTTGTCAAGGGATTAACACTTAAATAAAAACTTCATATTATTTAAGAGCAAAATAATGTAATAAACATCTGTGATAAATGGATATTAAGAATAGGAGCATTACAGAAATAGTACAAGATGATGTAAAATGTGTGTAATTCACGATAAGAATAAATATGTTGTAAAAATGTATAATTCATAATAAGAATAATATGTTGCAATAAATTATGATATGATATAAATGATGTATATACATATTCAGCTGAAAATTAGCGATATGTCGATAATTTGTGGTGAAACTATGAGGAGAAAATTTCACAATAAATTAAAATAACATTTCAGAATGATTATTCTGTGACAGGTATTTCATTAATATTTGAATCATATTAATGATATTTTGTTAAATATATATATCATTTTACATTGATTATATATATTTATTGAACGTAATATAAATAAACATTAATGTAAATAAATGTAATATTTATATATAAATAATCTATTAAAATATCTTTAATGTTTAAAAAATAGATAAATTATCCTGTATATAATTAAATCTATTTAAACAAAGCTAAATTATGTAATATATATATTTTTTATAAATATAAATATAATTATAATATGAAAAGGAGTATTTAACTATATTTTAACTTTCAATTTTATTTATTAATCAAGGATAAGAAAAGAAAAGAATATCTTTCTAAAAAAAGAAAAGTAAAATATAAAAGATAGAATATGAAATATAATCTTTTAAACGACAATAAAATTTTCACTTTATTTTACAGTGACTAGAAATTTTGATTTCTTTTCGATTCTTTTGGATTGTGAAATTTACAAATTTATACAGAAACAATTTAATCACACATGATTATATGTATTCACTTCAAAATTTGATTGAAATCCTATAACCAGTCATTCAATTTATTCAACTATGTATTTCGAATACTTTATTCCTAACCTTAATTTCAAGATATTTTCGAAGCCGGTAAATTTCGCAAAAAAATATATACATGTATATTATAATACTTCTATTTATTTTTTAGTTGATATTACAAACAATACAAATCATAAAATGAACCGAATAAAATTTAAAGAAACGATATTTGTATTACCATCGACTCAAAATTTGAAATAAACATTTAGTTGTTTTTATAGCATGGAATAGATGAAGTATAACTTAATTAAATTATTTTCACTGAAACATCTCAAAAACGAGGTGTAATAATCAAAAGAAAATAAATACATTGAACGTACCTCGCACTTAGCGATTCTTACGAGGAGCGCCATTGTGGTAAACCACGTTCGTAGCTGTCTGTACTAGAACTACTTGACTAATGAAAAAAATGGCCTTGTTCATGATATATGAACGACCGTACGTTTTCATCGAGGTTAATTGCTTCTGTTTACAATGTTCTTCAGACTTGATGTTTTTAGTACTGTTCTCGTTTATATTCGTTCGGTTATCTCCGAAGAATTTACGAAAATAGCCGAACGAACAACGTAAGCGCCGTTATCGATTTCAAGTTCACTACATCAAGTAATTAATAAAATAATGAATATTGCACTCAATCTTTTGATCATTTAGAACATTATAGGAACATACAGAACATTGTAAAGATTTTATTAACAAATTAGTGTTGGAATGGCAATCCCTAATCGATTCTTTTAGATTTTTTATAGATTCAAATGTCTAATAAGTCGATAAGGAAGGAAATTTCAAATGAATGTATCAACGGTTGGAAATACCACAAAACAAACGAGGTATATGAATAGATATTACCACAGCGAGATCACAGACGAAGTATATGAATAAATTGTATTATATATGTATTATATTGTATGAGTAGCAATGCATTTTTTTGGCTAAGATTACGAGGTCCTCAAAACCCCCCATTTTTGTGCCACATTCTGTCGTACCGATTCAAGCAGATTTTATACCGTAACTCTACTAGTGATGAGAATTAAAATAAAAATAAAAAAAAAAAAAAAAAAAAAAAAAAAAAAAAGAATGGACAGTGTTGCCAGTCTGTTTCGATCATTTATTGAATTGAACAAACGGAGATTGATGAAAACTGGGATGAAAAATTTAGTATATATTTGATTATTAAAAGTATTAGAAGAAATTGATTTTTATGAATAATATAATTAGATATAATATTTACAAATATGTAAATTTACAGCCTGAATGGATTACTTTTATCCCGCAAACACGATTTTATGAAAGATTGGACTTGTTAAAAAAATATTTCTACATATATTGTTTGAAATAAAGAAGTCAAATTTATTTTCTCTCTCTCTCTCTCTCTCTCTCTTACGCATATTTCTTTTTTATAGTACGATGTTACTTGTTAAGATGAATTCACTGAGTTGCATTTTCAACGACGAAATCATTTATTGTTATATATTGTTGATAAAAATTATATAAAGTATGAGTAATGATATATATATGTTAGTATTAAGATTTTATGAATTTAAAACATTCGTATTTTCTTCCATTCTGATTGCCGGTGAACTTGTAAGTTAGCCATTTCTTCATTGATTTCGACAATCCCTAAGTATCATTTAGAAATCCATACCCTAAACGACTCTTTCCTCTACAAACAATAGAATGATTTTAGTTAGATACTAGCTTCACATTTCGGTATTGAAAATTGACAACACTGTAATGAGTCTCAAAAATCATATTGCTGGCACATTCACTAGTTTCTTAACTCACCGTTGTTTAAACGTAGAGTGCGCTAAAAAAATTAGTGATTTTGTA